TATATATATATAGACAGATTCAAAGTGCATCTGTTTATTATAATATTTGAATACACAATTGTGCGTTTTAAATAGCTTCATAGCTAGTGACATTTTCGTTTCCAGAAAATCAAGTTTTCTAACAAATATTAATTATGTATCGAATATCAATACAATCTTTCATTAGGATTCTGTGATCTAAATGGGAAAATTGGTTTTAGATATTGCATGTGTATACTATTCATCTAACACTGTTTCAAATTGCCTAGAGCTTCTCGGTATACGAATATAAAAAGAAATTGGAGCAAGGAAAAATGAAGTAAGAAACGTGTCTTCTGCACGTTAATTAAAAGTGCTGCAGAGGAAGTTGCCAACTAAGAAGGGTGAAGCTGAATGAAAACAGCTGCCACTCGATGACGACACAGTCTAAGAGCGCGCTTAGTTCGGAAGTTTCACCATCGTTAGTTTCACGAGTGGTTATTAGAGTCAGTGCCTACCTAATAAGATATTACCGAAGCATTCGAAGGGGACAGCATCGATTTCCTTCTCAAAAAATTTCTTGAGAAATTTTAATCGAATGTTTCTGAAAATGTTTAAAAATGTCAACCCAACTGGTATAAATGGTAATTTTTATAAATGAAGAATTGATGAAGGTAACTGGATTTCACACACACAACTTCGATTCTTATTAATACTCCATACATATTTGGTGAATTTAGAATTCAATAATGCTGTAGAAATTCGACAATATTTTACTCATTTAAGAGAACGGAAAAGTAATAGTTAATGCAAAATATATCTTTCCACATGATAATGCGCATCGAAAATTAAATAGGATTATGTCTTTGATTTCCGGATAAATTCCGGCTAAATTTCTCTGACAGAATTGTTGTCATTTACAGAATTGTTTTCCTACATACTTTACGTGATTCTAAGATTACTTTCACGATGTGTTCGTCTCCAAAAATAATCTGAAGTAATAGTGAATCATCTGTCAAACTGATGTTAGAGTTCTAAGTTTGTGGCACTCCGTTAGACTTCAGTAATTTAAATCTTAATTCATTCAAACTTTCATATGAACACTGCTCTTCTATGAATTTCTTCTTCCTCTACTTGAAATTTATACTAATTTTTCTATACTCAAACGTCCATGCACCCTTCGATAAAGTTGAAACGAGTTCACGGAACTGATCGATGTGAATAAATCAGATGAAATCGTTAGTTTTATGAAATCGAGAACAACACACACTATTAACCGTGAAGTGTGGACGAAGTGTTAGCAACGTGTGAAAACAACTGCTTCGTATCCCGGATTTGGTTCCCAAGATTCGTCCCATATATTGACTTTTCAATTGTATTGGTTAAGACAGATTGTTGTATTGTTATTCATATATATATATATAAGGGTGGTCCACTTAAATCGAACATCTTGAGTATATCGCTTATTTTTGATGATACAAAAAAATGTTTCAAACGAAAGTGGAACGGTTTCGAAGGGAACGTATTTTAGTCATGTTGTCTTTTTTCTAGGTGGAGATGCCAAAAAGATACGAAGATCACTTTCACTTTTTTAAATGGAATTGTATGAATTTTTATATCAAAAATAAACGAGATATTTCAGATAAGTGATTTAAGTAGATACGTTCATAAAACGTGTATGTACTTAGTTCTCGAAGTTTTCAATACAGATCAATGAAATATCAATGAATTCTTGTTTCGATAAAGTAGAAAAAATAGACATCTTAATTTTTTCCGGAGGAAAAAGGACATGCTTCTGTCTTTCTTTACGTGAACTGAAATCACATTGCTTCAAGGAAAGTAGAGCAGATGATCGTTTCGATGGATTAAATTTTCCCTGTGTTTCTCATCCTCTCTTGATCTTGCTAATTTCAAACATCGTTGTTGTTATCTAGAATAATTTCTGTTATGAGAATTCGTTTGTCCGTCCATATTTGAGTCGTTTGCGAGTCTTTTTGAAATTAAGACGCATGATAAAGCTTATCTTTAATTTATAATTCTAAATTACGAATTTCTCAATGGCATATACCACAACGCAAGATGTTGGCAGCTAATATTTTATATTTTAATCACATAATAATTAAATAAACAAACGTTTTGACCTTAAATTGCGTCATCTTCAGTTACACAATTCCTTCATCCAATTTACGCATACGAATATATTATCACACCAATGCAACAAAGAGAGAGTTTTATATCTCGCGTTATAACTTGTAAAATTAATCCGAAAGGACGCACGTTAATATCAAGTTATATTTTCTAAGTAGAACCTTAAAAGAGAAAGTAGTCAACTATTGTATCTTATTATACTCCTGAGAATTTGTTATTAAAATCAGTCAAGTACTCCCGCTCATCTTTCTTAGTTATTCCATACATAATTTCCTTAGATAATTTTCTTAAGATTCTAATATGGAATGAGTATTCTTACATTAATAATAATAAATTATAATTAAAGTAATATATAATAAATTATAATTAAACAACAATAATCTAATACCTATGTACAATAACTTCCGTAAGTTTTATCAAGATCACGTAGTAAACTTGATATAACGAATCAATTAATAAAGTCTTTATGTTCAACTTAAATCATGACAGTTCGTTTATAAACAATTTTTGTAGAAAAAACTGATGGAAAGGGTAACGCCGGAGTTACGTGGGGGAAGTTATATTAAATAAAGGAAAATATGCTTCGGATATCGCTCCGGATCATTTTGTATGTTAATAACATTTATTTATTTTTTATGAATATCATTTCAGACATGAATTTTTTTTTAAAACAAACTCTGAATCTAATACTGAAATATTATCCCAATCTAATTCGTGTCCATGTTCCAGCTGATGCTCTGATACTACCGTGCGCAAATCTTTGGATTTCTTAATGTTTCTATTCTTATGTTTCTTTATCTTTGTTTTGATTTTCCTTTTCGTCTGGTCTATACGAAACGTCACAATCGAGACAGCTTATTTTATATACAGCATTACATTGCTTCATCATCTCTAATTTATTCTTATCCTCCTCCAAATCTAACAACAGAATTCAACGTATTCATGGCTTTATAGGCAACTTTGAAATCATTTTTTTTCGCCAGTTAGTTTTAAATTTTACCGAGATTTCATATTTGGTATAGTAAAATAATTTTGCCGATTATTATTCGAATCATTAATATTCATGGTTTTAATCGCATCTAAATTCTTTTTTCTCGATAATGTTTTAATTCTACTATTAATTGTGGAGAAGATTATATCCAAAGAATAGCCATTAGAGAATTTTCTAAATTACGATCTAAGAAAGTGCATTTGCAGTATCACATCTATGATCTCAAATCCGTGTTTCTTTAAATATCAAAACACTCAAAAAATATTCTATCATTTAGGGGCCTATTCAGTGTTAATGTCAAAGGATTTTCCATTTATATACGACTTCAAGAATATATTCTACAAAGTAAAGGAATTTATATTTTGTATAACCATAAAGTGCTGGATTTAGGATTACAATTCTCTCAATGTTAAAAGAATGTTATTTGTACTGATAGGCACGCGTAGCTACGGTAACACGTAAATGACAAACTTCTAACAAATAAGCGTGCCGCTAATATCTTGTATATCTTCTTATTTCAAAAGGCTATTCGAGTTATTATTATATAATAGAGTTTTCTATAGAGGAACTTATTTTTGATCACAATTCATGTCCTCATTTTTATAGATGAATACGTATTATAAATATCATATGATTCATGTAAGATTTTTTAGAGGAAATGCCAAGAGGAATTCCCTCGCTTATCGCAGAATATTTTTTTTTTTATGAAACTATAAATTTTTCATGCGATATCTATGATGTTTTTATATTAGTTTAGAATAAAATTATTTTTATCTCAAGTTATATTTTACATTATATTTAATAGATAGATACATTACATATATATGTGTTAAAATAAATCAGAAGATGAAGAATTAAACTGACAATTATGTTGAAATTTCGCTAAAAATTCGGCTTCATATTTTGAAATATTTAGTATTTGAAAAATATTTTTCTCAAAATTATTTACAGTACAATTATTTATTAAAAGTGAAATGTATGTACTAACTTTTAAATAATGTTCATGCATTATTTGAAAAACAAACTTTCAAGATGCGTTTTGTCCAAAATTTATAATTTACAGAAAATGAGAAAGAAAATTAATATTTTTTTTTTTAAACAAAGAACGCTAAAAATAAAAAAACAATATTTGCTATCTGTTAAAATAAAATCGACATTTCTTTCTCTCCTCTAAAATTATTTAGAAACAAATTGAAAGTAAAACATTCTGTATTTTTTTATTTGTCATTATTGAGCAACGTAACATTATCATGAATATTAATAACAAAATTGTCAGTTATAAAGATATTAGTGACAGAGATTAAAGACAGAGATAGAAGAATCAATGTACGTATTTAAATTCGATAAATGCCAAGTAATTTATATACCTCGTGTCATCATGTCTGTTCCCGATACGGTCCACTCTGAAAGAAAAAAATAAAAGAATAATCATTTCTCACATGCTTGATACTGTGTACCTACAGTCTACAGTTACATTTTATCGCACGCAACATATATATGTAAGATAAATTATATCAAAATTCTTGTTATGTACAATATGTATTATTTGAGAATATATATCTGATAATTCGTAAAAAATTTTAAACCACAAACAATTGAAAAATTTAATTTTTTATTAAATCGTACAACTATTATTAATTTTTAACAAAATTGTTAATAATTATATTTCAATTACAACTTAATATAAAAATTTAAAGATGTTTAAGAAATATTTATTATTTATATATAGCAAGGAATAATGTTATTTCGCATTGTATTTTATTGTATATAGATTTATAAACGTATAAAATCTTGATATATATCATGTATTTTTTGTGAACGTAAATTTAATTAACATTTTAGGTCAAAATCATGTGCATCGGAGGATAAAAAAGGTTCGTTGAAAAGGTGAATGCACTTGACTGCTTGTAGCCCGCTGTTTTCTGAGTTTATGGGTACCAATCGGCATCTGTCAGAGAAACGTGAGTGCAATGCCGAAAAGGAAACGAGGGTGTCTTTCTTTCATCGGGTGTTCCATTACTAAAGACAGGCCATACTCGACACGTGGTGTAATACATGCTGTTGGATTATATATGGTATGCCAGAAGTATGGTTGATGCTTTCGTTTACTGACGTGGAGTCAATTTGTCTTTAATGAAAATTTAGGTGCATGTAACATTTTCTCGTGAATAGCCTTTTCTGGTGAATTATTATTCCAATTACGTGTTATTTTTGGACAGAAATAATCTCGATGTTCACGCAGCGCAAACGCAAATTGAAAGCAATTTTGTATTTGCAATTATAAAATATTTACTTTTAGAATATTATTAATGTGCAAAAACGAATTATCATTTATTCTCAATACTCTGAAAATTTTGCCTTTTGATAATTCTTGATCGAACAGAAATAAACGAAAATTATTATTTAATTTTCATTTAAATTATGGATATTACATACAAAAGTACATAGTTTTAATCGTTTATTTTATCAAGCTTAATTTTTAATTTTTAACAGTAAAAAATAAATTCCTCAAACATCATGTCAATATTTTTCACAATCATCAGTAAAATTATGCTGATTGTCACCTCGAAAACCACTTCTCATCAAATAACATTTTTGCATTAGCGTTATTATATTCCGAAAAATGGCGCAGCCAAATATAAAATGTCGTTCAATACGATTCAAGCAAACGCTTTCTAAATATTCCTTTGTTAGGAATATTACGTCCGACACTTTCTACCAAAATTTAATGTTGATAATTGACAGAAAAAAATTTAATGAATGTTAAACGTTTGTTTAAGTTTTTGACGTGAATGTGTTATATTCATATTAAATTAAATATTCTTTCATTAAAATCGTTTCAAACGATATTATTAAACCTTTTGACAAAATTAAGCCTCAAGCGATATAATCAGAAAATTGTTAATAGATACATTAATGATATCTGAAATATAAATTTAAATTTAAAGTTTATGGTCTGACGATTATTTCGAATAACAGTTGTAAAATGTTCAGTTTTAGTTTCAAACCACAGTTGAGTACATATAAATGTGTGCATATAGATAATGTTTAATTAATTATTAATAAAGATATATTTCCGTGCAAAAAGCATAAATTGTGATTTATGTTAAATAAATTTATATCTAGTCAATAAGTAAAGGCATTCAAATATTCGATATTGTTTGACAATCGAAGATCTGTCTTTAATTAAATACAAGTAGGTCTCGTTTAGAAAATATTGTTTCTGGCAACTTTTAATTTTCGAATTACTGACATTCTGATCTTAATCCTTTATTCTTGAAATCAACAATGACCGAATAAATGATGTGAATGCATCGAGCGTCCCAAAGGGTCCACAATTCACTCGCCACGGCGCTGACCCAAGGTGGAGGTCATTACACCCAGTAAGCTCTCATTACTCCTCGATCGAACGACCTCTTCTCTCTCTTTTACTCTTCCTCTTTCTCCTCTACACTACCTCTTCGCAGTTTGACCCTTTCGTGTGCTTCGTCCGGCAACCGGTCGTTCCCTTCGAAAAGCTTCTTCGGCGACTTTCTTGCAGTCGGTAATGCCAACGAAAATTTATCGCATCTCGTCCCGGTCGACTCATCGATTTTCTCGTCTGCTTCCCTTGCCCGCCTTCCTGGCGGGCCGCCGAAAATCTTTAACCGCAAAGAGCAGACCGCTCTCGTGCGAACCACTTCTCTTCTTTTTGCTCATATCGACGACCGTCGCTCGTAAATCCACGTGGAATCTCCGTATATTGCCTAACTAGTTTGCCCGCATAGATTTACGGCATGTTTCACGTTGATTTAGCGCCGAGTTCGTTAAGAGAATACCGCGATAATGCTAAAAATGACGCGCACTTTCGCGTCGCGTTGTTTTCCATACGATTAATTCTAATCCCATACATAAATCTAGCGATAAATATTAAAAAATTGTTCTCTCAAACTAGGTAATATTATACATTCGATGATTATATTCTATGTATCAGTTGTGATCTCGATTCCTTAAAGATTTTTCTAAAAATACTTTTAAATTTCCAAAATGCCATCTCAGTATAAAAATACGTTCATGTTCTCATAATAATAAAGATCGCATGGAGTTAATAAAATAATAACATTTGAATTTCATAAATTCATTGTAAATATGAAGACATATTACATTTTTTAAATATATATACTGCAGTTTTTTAATATGCTTAAGAAGCCTGTGAATAATAATTTGGTATAAAGTCACATGTGTTGCGTATACATTTAGTTATGTTTATCGATTATATTCGCGATAACGGAGAAGTTTCAGGGAAATTAATCTCATATGTAATATCGAATACCCAATATTCACGTTAATTCAATTTACAATATTTATGCCTATGTTATGCATGCGTCGGCTGGATTAGTCAGCTGATGCACGTCATGATTTTACTTGAATACGTAACAGCACATATCCATCTTACGCGAAATATATTTAGAGCGTGTTGTTATCCCGACCTACACACGCACGAAATCAAACCATTTGTTCGCGATTTGTTCACCATGTTTGCAATCTACCGGTTCACCTGACGTTAATGCCTGCCCATGATTGTTATGTTACCAAACATCATACATCAGTAATTAGCTTCTTTAATTTCATTCCTCTCTCATCCTATTTTAGCTAGTATCGTATAAAATGTTATTATAAACGCCAATGTGTAGTATTACTCCGATCTTCTAGTATTACTCCGATTTACGTATCAAATTTTATAATTATCATCACTGCACTATCAATGTAGTCATACTATTATTATTATTATTAGTTTATATATCATATTTTATAGTTACTATTAACACTAATATTAAACTATGTAGTTTTATCTTTCCTCTTTGTATTTATTACACTGAGATATATATATGTACACACAATTTTCTAGATTTTATATTACTTTCAGGATCGTCCAGATGCTTTTAAAAGATTTAGCTTGAAACAGAAATCATGGATAGTGAACACTATCTGCAACTACACAATTTCTTTTTTCATTTTGCAGAAATTGTTAACGTAGAAATAATGCGCAGTCCTATTCGCAGCGAGAACAAACGTCTGCGCCATTTGATTACGCGACAACATTGTTGGCTTACGAGTCATTATGCAACCGACAGCGTGGTCATAACTTCGAGTAAACGCAAGGAATCGGCACGAATAATGAATGAGAGAAAGGCCAGCCTGTACGCTTCTGCCTGAGCTCTCGACCGAGATAATCCGCGCTTATGGAGTAGTATGCTCGCGAGGAAATATCAACTCTTTAGAATTATATATGATTTTAAACTTTGCCTTTATCGCGTAGTTCACATAGATTTGCAGGATTTTTAATTTTCAAAATATTGTATCCAAGTAATGTCAAATTTCAAGATTTACTTGAGAGACTTACTCAAGATTTACTGTCGCATTGAGCGAACGGAGCATCTTTTACTAAAGCAAAAGCCGGAATGGAAGTCTTCGAAAAAAACCTTTGGATGATGGTGTTCTATCATGTCGTGCTAATTATACAGTATAAGTTTTCATACTTTAACTCTAATAAGCCATTAGTATTTTGTTATTTGGTCACCAGGATGTGAAACCTTGCAACTTTGTCACGCTATATCTCTGGACTGAATTTTATAACTCGTATTTTTTAACTCAAAGCATGTAAAATTTATACCTCGAAGTGAGACAAAGACTTACATCATACAAAGAAAAATATAAATCAAATAAATATTTTATTTTCAATTAATTACGATGTTTCAAAGAAATGTAAAATAACAATGTAAAAAAATCGCAAAAGTCCATAGTTTGCTAGGATTAAATTCTACTTGAAATATAATAAAAAGAACATTATATTCCTAATAAAACTGTAGTTAAATATTATTTGTTCGTTATTATAGACAGCGCATGAGATATTTATTGTAAAAAATATTTTTTATTGTTAAATTTTTTATCAAATATCTTTGATTCTATCTATCTATTAATTTTCCGTTACCTCGAGATTTAGACAGAATATTTGCTTTTATGATGAAATTCTATCATATGTTATTTTTAACATCACTTTTAAAAAAATTTCTTCAAATTATTCATCATTCTTCAAATTATTCATTCAGAAAGCGAGTTTTTCACGTCATTCAAATTTTTTAATTTATAATCATAATAATCCTGTACATTACGGAAAAAGTAATTTTTAATTTATTAAATAACAAGGCTATGAATTTTCATAGCCGCATAATTTATACATTTAACGTTCACACATTATTACATTTAAGTTGCCAATCTCGAGAGAATGTGGAAAATATTCAGCCACTGGTAGAAACTCTTTGTGTTAGAGTAATCGTATCACAGTCATTGTTCGACGTTTCATTGTAATACGAAGACTTCCGTAGGGGCAAAATTACGCTCTTCCGCGCTTCGTCATGTTTTT